ACTTTCAGGAGTTTGGAGACACCAGAGAAGTAATGAGCCTGCTGGGAAAAAAACCAGGCAGGCGCTGGCCCCCATGGGGTGGGGGTGGAGCTTCTGACGGTGCTGGCTATAGTTCCTGTCCCTCCATCCAGGTGCATATCCAAGCTTACCCTGAACCATACAGGTCCCTGGACTGTTGTGAAATGTCACTTTAATATCTGTTACATTCATTTATGCTATGGAGTATTTGTTTAATGATGCAAAGATGTGTTGAATTCTTTTACATTGCATTTGTTTAACTCTGTGAAGCTGTGTTGCTTTGCCTGTCTGAAACACCTGATTGGTCTAATAAAGAGCTGAATGGCCAATAGCTAGGCAAGGGAAAGGACATGCAGGTCTGGCAGGCAGAGAGATTACATAGGAGGAGAACTCTGGGAAGAAAGGTCAAGGAGCAAAAGGAGGAGAGAAGGACTCCAGGGGCCAGTCACCCAGCTACACAGCAAGCCACAGAGTAAGAAGTAAAGAAAGGTAGACAGGATAGAGAAAGATAAAAGCCCGGAGGCAAAAGGCAGGCAGGATAATTCAAGTTAAGAAAAGCTGGCTAGAAACAAGCCAAGCTAAGGCCCGGCATTCATAAGAAAGAATTAGCTTCTGTGTGATTACTGGGTAACTGGGTGCTGGGTCCCCAAAGAGCAAAACGAAAAATAACACAGAACCATCCCACTAGCTGTATGTATATGCATGTCTCTCAAATGGATCCCACTCAGCTTTTCTGTACATTTTAATAACAAATCTTAATCCTAATAGGATAATTGGATTTCTGGTGGCATAGATTATTTTACATCACTGTAGCTTAACTCTAGAACTGAACTACATGGAGCCAGGTTTATTGACACCCTGCTCAATACATACACTGGCTCTGGTCCTGATGGGAAAAGTCCTGCAGGCCCTACATGGTAGATGCTGAGGCAGAAGAATGATGGGTGCTCTCTGGAATGTTCTCTACAATAGCCACTAGTGATGAAGACACAAGGTCAGGCTGAACACTGGTACGGTCCCTACAGAAGCCACCAAACTTGGCAGGAGCTCCAGAATTATCCTCAACCAAGGTGAGACTGTGGGGCCATTATTCCGCCCCTGAACCATTCCAGGCCACTCTGCGAAAAAGTGCAGCTTCAAGTTAGATAGGGCCCACGGCCAAGGCAGTGCTCAGAACCAGACGCGGTTTGGGGCTCCCAGCATCAGCTGCAGACAAGAAGGCTGAGTGGTATGCTGCAGCCGTCATCACTTGCAGCCGGTCTCTCTGATCATCTCCACTCATGTGTCCACGACAATCACCTCCCTGTCGGGCCTGCGTTCACTCCTGAGTGGGGAGATCAGCAAATGTCTTCCCTGATGCTCACAGCTAGAATCCACAGTTGAGAGATGCAGCTCACCAAGACATAGATATTACTGGTGGGCATTACCACAGCTAGCCTATTAAGAGATGGCTTGTGTTGAATAGAGCTTTATAGACAAGAAGACACAGGGCGGGGCTTCCTAGTAATCTTTTCCAGCTATACCAAGCACAAGTAAACAGAAAGTGTTGTTACACTTTGCCAACTGGCTCAGACAGAATTTAAAGAGGAAAAGTTATTAGTTAAGATTGAAAGGAAGTTGGCAAGAAATGGATGGCCGGGGGCCCATTACTCAAGAGCAGAGCTGAGTGTCCTTTCAATTAGCTTGCTTACACGATGGAGTGACCCCCAGTCCTCACCTGCCCAGTCCGACCCCACCTTGCGTGTTCCATGAGACACCAGGCTGGACATGAACAGCATGTCTGCTTAGTTCTTCCTGAAACCAGATTTCCCTGCTCCAGCCACACAGCTCCAGAGAGCGACCAGGCCACGTACCTTTAGAGGTACATCCTTGACCCAGCCCTTTTCTGGAATGTTTTGGCTTGAAACTGGTGAACCAGCGGTGGTTCCTGGTTAATAATGAAGAGTGAGATATGACACCTGGTTTCTTGGTAGCTTTGTTTTCTGAGATGTTGAAAAAAAAAAATCCTGAGGCCAAGGTGAATGGAAGAGGCCAAGTGATGGGGAATGTTCTTCCGTGCATGTGTTTCTTTCATTGGTTTATGACTACTACTCTTATTGGCTGATTGGCCAGATAGGAAGTGGCGTAGCTGGGCAGAATCAGTATATAAGCAGAGACAAACAATAAATCACTCTTTTCTCTCTGAGGAGATGCTTAGCAGTCACCATATGAGCTGCCCAAGAAGTTAGAGGTCTGGACCTTTCTCCAGTAAGATAAGACCACATGGAAATACTTAGATTAATAGAAATAGGTTAATAATTAAGACAGAGCTAGCCAATAATAAACCATAGTCACTGGCCAATAGTTTCATAATTAATATAGCATCCGTGTGTTCATTTGGGGCTGACGCAATTCTGGGGCCAGGCCGGTGGGATAGAATGTTCGTAACAGCAGAGAGAGTGCTCACAGTCTATCATCCTCCGTCTCCAGGTACCCCCAGTCTACCCTTAACTCCTTGAGGTTGTCTGTGTGAGCTTTGATCTCTTGACCCCAAGCTAGCCACAGGTACATCTCTGTCCTCAGCATTTTCATATAGTCTAGATACACAAATAAGTGTGTCAGCTAGCAGATACAGTGCACCCCTCAGTCTCTACGCCAACACACCCTTAAACAAGGAGGGTGATTAGTCGTCTCCCCAAGAAGTCTTCTTCAGTAGCAGGTTAACCAAAAGTGGAAGCGTTCACTCTCCCCCTCAGCCAGCACGTCTTTCGAGATACTCTGAAATAAAACTCTGCTGTCCCATCACCAGGGACACTCACGGAAGCACCAATTGAAACTCCAAGGGCCCTGTTTGCATGGACCCCGGGGGACGGGATCCAACCCTCCAGCTCCCACCCAGAATTCTTAGGGCCTTCCCTGCTGTTCATATCCGATGTTAATCCTACTGCAGACAGGTCTTCAATGGGGGACTGAACACTGCTAACTGGATGATAAGGGAACATATATCAGCAACATATGCTCAACCTTCGACCCACCACAGATGTCATTGTTCTGTGGATTGCTTTCTCCTCAAGCTTTGGAACACAACACATTGAAGCACTCAGCATAGGCCCAATTTCCAAGCTTTCTGTTTCTTTCTTTTTACCTTCTTCTTGGTATGTTGCTATAAATATCCTCCCAAACATAGAATCCAAACCTCAGGTGGTGTGTGAGTGAAGGCTTAAGCTAGAGGAACGGAAATGTATTTCTCAACACGTGGGTGCCAGGCCACCAGCGCATCTAAATATCAATTTTGGACGTAAAATATCATGAAGTCCTGTAAAGAGAAGCTTTTTCTTTGAGAGAAGCCTTCCCGCCAGCCTGGTTCTAGTGCCGCATCAGTCCCAAATAAACACACAGGAGGCTATATTAATTATGAAGCTGTTGGCCTTGCTTGTTTCTTACTGGCTAGCTCTGACTTAAGTAATTACCCCATAACTGTTAATCTAAGTATGTCTCTTACCGAAGAATAGTTCCAGGCTTCCTACCCCATGGCGGTTACATGTTGAATCTCCTGTGTTTCTCCTTCCCAGAGTCCTCCTGGACTCCTAGTCCCTCCTATCTTGGTTCCCTATTGGCTCAACAGTGCTTTATTGGCATAAGACTTCCCCAACACTGTCCCTCGGCTCTTGTAGGGCTTTCTAAGTCAACACACCCAGAGTTCGAGGGTAGCCCTTCAGAAGACAGGTGCCACCCTCAGTATAAAGTGAGGGACAATGTAAGAGATGACTGTCTGTCATTAGTCACATCCAATACAGTCCCCATGCTCTGGGATCCCACCTAAGGCCCTGTCTTCTTCTGAGACTCTGGGGATTTTTAAGATCATAAGTTTGGACCTATGAGGGACTCCCTCAATCTAGCCAGAACTGGAATTCACCCATTTGGCAGCTATGGTCCTGAAGGCATTATCTCATCATTTCCATTCCACTGGGCATTCTTGGTGTGCTGCAGCTTTCCTTCTGATCCAGGCCCTCCTTCGCTTGATTCAGGAAGATGGATCAAGGGAACATTGAGGAGATGGAAATTTGAGAGCTGGCTCAGCAGTTAGGGACACTTGTTGCTCTTCCAAAGGATCCAAGTTCGGTTCCCAGCACAGACAGCCCTCCTCTGGCTTCTGGGGGCACCCACATACATTTGTGTACACTCACAGACACATATATGCATATACATAAACAGATTTGAAAATAAGGAAATGCAAGTTTCTCGAGGCCTCCCGTCTCCTGCACCCCAATCAGTTTCTTTTACCCACTGGGATGAGGGCTCACCCCTATCAAGAAGCTAAAGATGGTTTGGCAGGCAGGCCTGGAAGCAGCGTTCAGCTTTACAAGGCAACCTGGAATCACAGGCCTTAGTCACACTCAGTGAAGTCCAGGTAACGGAGGCTGGTTTCAGTTTGTTCCTTGGGTCCAACATGTCTGCGGTTGGGGGTGGGAGTGGGGTAAGGTGCTGACAGTGTGTGTGTTTAACAACTACTAACAAACGTAAGCTCCTTTAGAGACACAAGAATATTTTCTACCGCAGACAGCCTTGTCCAGATGAGCCACGAGAAACGAAATTTATTCTAAGGGTTTTGACAGTCACCTTTAAAACAAGTGATAGGTTTGCCTTCCCACTTGGGTAGGTGTAGCTGTGAAGCTGCTGTCAGCACAGTAGGCCAGAGTCAGGGTGGGGCATCCTGAGGATTGGGAATTCCTTCTTCTCTTCTCTCAATTCTGATCCTACCAGCAGCTCCCTGCCACCAAGGTCTCAGAGTTAGTTAGGCTAATCGTCTATATTTGAAAGCACGTTAGAGGAAATGTCGCCACACTCAGAAAGTCGTTAACCAGGAGTCTGTAATCCATATTTTTCCATGCGCTTTCATCACACAGGGAAAGGTCTGTGGTTGAGAAGTTTGTTTAGGATGCAGTGGAACTGAGGGAGACAGCGAGAGACACCCCCACCCCACACACACCCTCACCCCGTACCTAGAGGTTCTGGTTCCTGGTGTGAGTCCTCACAGAAGTTCTGGTTCCTGGTGTGAGTCCTCTCAGAAGTTCTGGTTCCTGGTGTGAGTCCTCTCAGAAGTTCTGGTTCCTGGTGTGAGTCCTCTCAGGTCACTTGTGGCTGGTGGGGGCTGGGGGGCTTCTTTCTGAGAGACAGATCAAGTTGTCTTCACTGCTTCCACCAACCCGAGCTCCGCTCAGCCTCTGGGGCTCCTGCCCGTCCTCCCTCTTGCAGCTAATGAGCAGATCAGAGGGCAGCCAGAGAAGAGGCTTTGTTTTTCCTCGAGTGGTGGTAATCGGAGTTCTCAGGAGACAGAGGCAGGAGCACTGTGAGTCAAGACACCAGGACAGGCTACACAGCAAAATAAAAATAAAAGAGAGAAATTTAAACAATTATAATCTTTTCATTTTATTTCTTACGGCAAAAGACAAGCACTTTACTTTCAAGAAAATTCGGAAGAGAAAAAGTGAAGGCAACTAAATTTCCCTCATCGTGAGGAAAATCTCTACGAATATCTACTAAGATGTATGTCTTTCCCAACTGCATAATCTCTATGCATCTTAGCAAGGGAGATAAGAACTGACTGAGGACAGATGCCAGGCCCATGGTTTGCCGAGGTCACCACATGTCACCCCCTCATCCGCTCTCCTGATGCTACCACTGTGTTCCAGCAGGAGGTGTGTAGTACACAGGCTGTGGCACAGGCCACCAGGTTTCCAGGAGCCCCCTCTTGTTACACATAAGTGTGTCATCTCGAGAGAGCCGGTCACACTGGACTTCCAGGTCCTCACTTGTCAAATGGGAGTAAGAGCCTCCAGGTCACACAGGTAGTCAGGACATGACTGAGTGAGGTATGTTTCCTGCTAACTCCCTGAAAGAGCTCAGCTCATAGATCCACCACAAGCATACACAGACAAAGCTAGGTTGTAAACGTAAATCTGAGTTCCAATGCAGGGGCAGGGGGGGTTGGGGGTGGGGGGATGGAGGGGTGGGGAAGGAGGGGAGAAAGGAAAAGGGAGGGAAGGGGGAGAGGAGAGGAGAGATCTGTACACCCTGCATTCACTGAAGTTTATAGATGTCTTTTGGTCACTATATGATACTATACTCCAGCCCATGGAAGTGCCTCTGACCTTGTCTTGTAGAGACATACAAGAGCTGGCAAGGCTGTGACCTTATTTAGAAGTGGGTTGGCTGCAAAATCACAGCAGATCCTGGGGCCCCTGTTAGCCAATCAGAGCAGAGCCCAGAGGCTGTGTATCCTAACAAGTTCTCAGTGATGATGGTCTGGTAGCCCACCTCGCTGCGTTCTCTGAGAGCTCTGCTCAGTGAATTTGCCTGTCCCTTCCTGCACACCCTGCCCCTGACTCTCACTTCACACAGGTCACCTTCCTCTCCCCTTCCCGAGTCCCCCACATGGCTCATCACATCAGAGCTCGCAAGGGAGTTCCCCAACTGGAGTATCAGGGAGCCCATCCGGGACCCAGACATCTAGGGGTGCTGGGGTAGGGTGACCCCATTCCCACAGTCACGACACTCTGATTCTACACAGACAACTAAGATCACAGCTGTCTCGCCTCAGAAGACAAGACCGATTCTAGAGCCAAGCTTTGGGGGTGGAGGGGAGCATGGGTGTGTGTGGGGTTCAAGCTTGAAGAGTGGCCATCTTGGACATTAATCCTCTGTTTGATGTAAACTGGCAAAGCTTGCCCTCTCCTGAAGTCTCCCTCTTCAATGAACAGTTCTCATGTTTTCACACTGTTTGCTGCCAGACTGGAGTCCTAGTCAGAAAGTGCTTACTGAGCCTGCATCCTGAAGAGTGCTTACTGAGCCTGCATTCTACAGTGCACACCTCATTTTCTTCCTCTAAAGTTTCAGAGTGTCAAGCCTAACACTAAACACAAAGAAGACAACACAATTTAAAAATGGGCTCCAGAACTAAGCAAAGAGTTCTCAAAAGGAGAAATGCAAATAGTAAAAGTATTTTAAACAGGTTCAACATCTTTACCAGGAGGGAGATGTGAACTAAAATGACTTTGGGATGTTCTCTCAACCCAGGCAGAATGGCTAAGATTGAGATAACAGATGACAATAAATCCTGAGGATATGAAGAACAGGGAACCGTCATTCACTTCTGGTGAGAGGGCAAACTGGTGCAGTCACTATGGAGATCAATCTCAAGGGTCCTGAAACAAAACAAAACAACAACAAAGCCCTAGAACTAAATCTACCACATGCCCCAGCTGTGTCACTCATGGGCACACACCAGAGGGCTTGATCATTTCACTGCCTGCCCATCCATGGTCACTGATGCTCCGTTCAGAATAGCTAGGGATATGAAAGCATCCAGGATGCTCGTCAACTAATGGATAATGAAAATGTGGTAGCTAAAACAATGGAATTTTGGTCAGCTGTAAAAACTAAAATCATGAAATATGCAGATAAATGGATGGAATTGTAAAATAATTATACTGAGCGAGGTAACTCAAACCCAGAAAGACAAATATCTCATCCTCGCTCATATATGGATCCTAGCACCTAATCTTTAGATTCCTTTAGTTAAGAATACCAGTAAGCAGGACCCGCCCGCACAGGAAAGGCATCAGTCCTTCCAGACCCCACCCTCCGGCACCCCCAGCTTCAGAGCCTACCCTCCAGCGTGCCCACCTTCAGCTTCAGGAAAGAAGGAGACAAGTGGAGACAGAAAGACCCCACCTGCACCCACAGGGAGAAGAGATGGGAAGAAGACAGAATAAGAGCTCACTCAGCAATACAAAGACCAAAATGACTCCACCAGAATCTAGAGACCCAATGCCAGCAAGACCTGAAAAGCACTACATAGACGAAGCAGAAGAGACAGACCTTAAAAATTATTTTATGAAGATGATAGGGACCATCAAAGAGGAAATCCTTTAAAGAAATAGAAGAAAAACAAACAAAATACATAAAATGGGGGAAAAGGCAAACCAAAAAATTCAAGAAATAAATCGCTCAAAGAATCTAAAGAGCACCAAGAAGAAACAACCAAACAAATGAAGGAAACAACTCAAATAGTTGAAGGATTGAAAGCTGAAATAGAAATAATAAAGAAAACACAGAATGAGGGGATGCTGGAAATAGAAAAGCTGGGTAAACGATCAGGAACTACAGATGCAAGTATCACCAATAGAATACAAGAGATAGAAGAGAGAATCTCAGGTGTTGAAGACTCAGTAGAGGATATACAGTCATCAACCAAAGAAAATCTCAAAACCAACAAATCCCCAACACAAAATATCCAGGAAATATGAGACACCGTGAAGAAGCCAAACCTGAGAATAATAGGTATAGAAGAAGGTAAAGAAATACAGCTCAAAGGTACAGAAAATATATTCAACAAAATCATTGAAGAAAACTTCCCTAACCTAAAGAAGTATATGCTTATGAAAATGCAAGAATCTTACAGAACACCAAATAGGCTGGACCAGAAAAAGAAGTCACCTCGCCACATAATAATCAAAACATCAAACCTACAGAATAAAGAGAAAATACTAAGAGCAGCTAAAGAAAAAGGCCAAAGTAACATATAAAGGCAGACCTATCCGAATTACACCTGACTTCACAATGGAAACTATGAAAGCCAGAAGATCCTGGACAGATGTCCTACAAACGCTAAGGGAACAAGGATGCCAGCCCAGACTACTATATCCAGCAAAGCTTTCAATTACCATAGATGGAGAAAACAAAATATTCCATGACAAAGCCAGATTTAAACAATAGGTATCCATGAATCCAGCTCTACAGAAAGTGCTGGAAGGAAAACCTAGACCCAACGAAGATAACTATACTCACAAAGACACAGGCAATAGATAATCCTACTTTACCAAACACCAAAAGAAAAAGGGAGGAGAACCTACACTCAGTAACTCCACTACAAATAAATCAAGCACAAACAAGAATCATCAATCAATGGTCATTAATATCCCTCAATGTCAATGGTCTCAACTTGCCTATAAAAAGACACAGACTAGCAGAATGGATACGAAGACAGAACCCATCCTTCTGCTGCACACAAGAAACACATCTCAACGTCAAAGACAGACATACCTCAGAGTAAAGGGTTAGGAAAAGATTTTCCAATCAAACGGACCCAAGAAACAAGCAGGTGTAGCAATCCTAATATCTAAAAAACTAGACTTCAAATTAAAAGCAATCAAAAGAGACGAAGAAGGACATTTCATATTCATCAAAGGAAAAGTCCATCAAGATGAAGCCTCAATTTTGAACATCTATGCCTCAAATACAAAGGCACCCACATTCGTGAAAGAAACATTACTAAAGACCAAATCACACATAAAATCTCACAAACTAGTAGTAGGAGACTTCAACACTCCACTCTCACCACTAGACAGGACCTCCAGACAGAAACTTAACAAAGAAACAAAAGAACTAATAGAAGTTATGACCCAACTGGGTTTAACAGACATCTATAGAACATCCCACCCAACCACAAAAGGATATACCTTCTTCTCGGTGCCACATGGAACCTTCTCTAAAATTGACCACATAATAGGAAACATAGCAAATCTCCACAGATCTTATCAGACTACCATGCATTAAAATTAGAATTCAACAATAACACAAATTGCAGAAACCCTACAAACTCATGGAAATTGAACAATGCACAATTGCACCATCCCTGGTAAAGGAAGAAATAAAAAAGAAATTAAAGACTTCTTGGAATTCAATGAGAATGAAGACACAACATACCCAAACTTATAGGACACTCTGAAAGCAGTGCTGAGAAGAAAGCTCATAGCACTAAGTGCCCACATGAAGAAACTGGAGAACAGTTACACTAGAGAATTAATAGCACAGCTGAATGCTCTAGAACAAAAAGAAGCAAACTCACCCAGGAGGAGCAGACACCAGGAAATAATCAAATTGAGGACTGAAATCAATCAAGTAGAAACCAGGAAAACATTGTGAAGAATCAATGAAACAAAGAGTTGGTTCTTTGGGAAAATCAACAAAATAGACAAACCTCTGTCCAAACTAACCAAAAGAGAGAGAGCATGATAATTAACAAAATCAGAAATGAAAAGGAGGACATAACAATGGACACTGAGGAAATACAGAGAATCATCAGGGCATACTTTGAAAATCTGTTCTCCACAAAATTGGAAAATTTAAAGGAAATGAACAATTTCCTGGATAGATATCACTTGCCAAAACTAAATTAAGAACAGATAAACAATCTAAACAGGCCTATAGCCCTTAATGAAATAGAAGCAGTCATCAAAAGTCTCCCAACCAAAAAAAGCCCAGGCCCAGACGGCTTCAGTGCAGAATTCTACCAGAAATTCAAAGA